CATGATCTTGAGTTAGCTGCGGTGGTGTTTGTGTTGAAGATCTGGAGACACTATTTGTATGGTTCAAGGTTTGAAGTGTTCAGCGATCATAAGAGTCTGAAGTATCTGTTTGACCAGAAAGAGCTGAATATGAGGCAAAGGAGATGGTTAGAGTTTTTGAAGGATTATGATTTTATCCTAAGTTATCACTCGGGAAAGGATAATGTGGTAGCCGATGCTTTGAGCAGGAAGCCGATTCATATGTCGGCTATGATGGTGAAAGAGATGGAGCTTATTGAGCAGTTCAGAGATTTGAGTATGGTTTGTGAGACTTCGGCAGATTGCGTGATGTTGGGCAAATTGCAAGTGAACAATGATTTCTTGGATATGATCAGAGAAGGTCAGAAGCTTGATGTGAAGCTAGTGGATGTGATGTCTAGAGTGGGAAGAGACTCCGATAGTGATTTCCAGTTGGATGGTTCAGGTATGTTGAGGTTCCAAGGTAGAATTTGTATGTCAGATAATGATGAGTTGAAGAAGTCGATTCTGAGTGAAGGACATCGTAGTGGTTTGAGTATTCATCCAGGAGCTACGAAGATGTATCATGATTTAAGGAAGATGTTTTGGTGGTCAGGTATGAAAAAGGATATAGCTCGGTTTGTTTATGCATGTTTGACGTGTCAGAAATCGAAGGTGGAGCACCAAAAGTCGAGTGGATTGATGCAACCATTAAAGATTCCAGTTTGGAAGTGGGATTGTATCACCATGGATTTTGTTACGGATTTTCCGAGCACGGCGAGAGGATTTGATGCCATTTGGGTAATTGTGGATCGGCTTACGAAGTCTGCATATTTTTTGCCGATTAATGTAAGTTTTCTGTTGGAGAAGCTGGTGGAGATTTATATTCGGGTGATTATGAAGCTTCATGGTGTGCCATCGAGTATTGTGTAGGATAGAGATCCGAGGTTTACGTCGGAATTCTGGAAGAGTTTGCAGGAAGCTTTGGGTACCAAGTTGAAGCTGAGTTCAGCGTATCATCCACAGACTGATGGTCAGTCAGAGAGGATTATTCAGACTTTGGAGGATTTGTTGCGGGCTTGGGTGTTGGAAAAAGGTGGTGCGTGGGATACTCATTTTCCATTGATTGAGTTCACGTACAACAACAGTTACCATTCTAGTATCGGAATGGAACCGTTCAAGGCTTTTTATGGTAGGAGATGCAGAACTCCTTTGTGTTGGTATGAGTCAAGTGAGAATGTGGTTTTAGGTCCAGAGGTTGTGCAGCAGACTACTGAGACAGTTCAGATGATCTGTGAGAAGATGAAAGCATCTCAAGATAGGCAGAAGAGTTATCATGATAACCGAAGGAAAGAGTTGGAATTTAGTGAAGGTGATCACGTGTTCTTGAGGGTTAACCCAGTGACGGGTGTAGGTCGTGCATTGAAATCTAAGAAGCTGGATCCAAAGTTTATTGGGCCGTATCAGATTTTGCAGAGAGTTGGCGCTGTGGCTTATAGGGTGGCGTTGCCGCCGGAGCTTTCGAATTTGGATGACGTGTTTCATGTGTCGCAACTTCGGAAGTATGTCGCGGATCCGTCTCATGTGATTCAGAGGGATGAAGTGCAAGTCCGGGAGAATCTCACTATTGAGACGATACCGTTGAGGATCGAGGATCGCAAGATGAAGCGACTCAGAGGGAAAGAGATACCTTTGGTGAGAGTAGCTTGGGGAGGTGCTGCAGGAGGCACTGTAACCTGGAAATTGGAAAGCAGGATACGGGAAGCATATCCAGAATTGTTTCCATCAGGTATTTTCGAGGACGGAAATAATTAAAGTGGGGGAGAGTTGTAATGCCCATTTTAATTATTTAAGTTTTCCCGTGTTGTTTTGTTTCGGCGTGCTTTGTGTGGAAGTTGTTGAGTAAATAAGGAGCATAGTATTAATATTATATAAATGATAATGATAATAATTAATAATTAATATTAATGTTGATATTAGTAATACTATTATTATTATTATTATTATTATTATTATTATTATTATTATTATTATTATTATTATTATTATTATTAATATTATGAGGTTTTAATATTAATTGGAATTATTTTGGGGTATTGAGGGCAATAGTGGCATTTGGAAGAAATTGAAAAAAAAGAACACGATCGTGAAAGGAAGAAGAAGAAGGACACGGTCTAGCAAGTGAAGAGCAAGCTTGAGAGACGATCAAGAGGAACTTGGCTGTGAAATTCTTGAAGACTCTTCGATCAAGCGACGTATTTGAGGTAAGGGGGGAAGAATCGGTTAAATTTCGGTAAATGCATGAATATTAGGTAGAAGGGGATTTCCCTTAATTCCATAGGTTGATGATTACGTTTTATGTGATGTTATGATTCTGGGTTTGATGCTGATATGTTTGAATTCATTGCATGTGTTGTTTGCTCAATTTGGGGATTTCAGATAGTGTGAAGTTTATGCCGAAACTGAGTAAACGCGTAGAGCTGACATTTAATCGGGTTAAATCAAGGATAGATGTTGTAGATAGGTGGTAGAATATCGGTCTGGTATGATGGGGTTTGGTTTGGAATAGAATCGGCTGAGTTCGGAGCGTTTTGCCGACTCTGAGCAGTGGTATTATTTTTCTGAAGTCGCAGGTATTCGCTAGGCGAATGAGGGGGCGAGCCTTCGCTAAGGCTTCGCCAGGCAAACTAGGCAGTGAGTGCTGCCAGTAGCCTCTGTCTGGCTTTGCCAAGGGTTTCGTCGGGCGAGCTTCAGCGAGCATTCGCTGCGGGGCTTCGCCAGGCGAATGTGCCAGCGAGCGTGACAGAATGTTGTGTTTTGAGCTGTGTTGTTTGGTTCTCTCGTGATTGTTGGACCCTTGTTGGTCATGGTTGATTACGCGATTATTGGTGAGCTGTGGAGGGTATATGTGTGGTGTGGAATAGGATTTCCTTGATATTGTTCAATTAGAATGATTGAATTCGGTGTATGTGATTGCATATGAATGGGGTATATTGTGATATATATATATATATATATATATATATATATATATATATATATATATATATATATATATATATATATATATATATATATATATATATATATATATATATATATATATATATATATATATATATATATATATATATATATATATATATATATATATATATATATATATATGATGTGCGATGAAATGTGATCAGTGGAATTGTGTACGCTTAGTGTATCTGTGTTGTGTGTTGTGCATTGGGGTTATGCATAGCATGGTGTGATGATGTGCTCCTGTGCGGAGGGTGATGGCCTGGTGCCCATCGGTAGTGATATTGTGCTCCTGTGTGGAGGGTGATGGTCTGGTGTCCATCAGTGATTGTGAGGGATACATCCTGTCTCGGGGGAGCGTAAGTGATCTATCCTGGTTTTGATGTGCTCCTGTGTGGAGGGTGATGGCCTGGTGCCCATCGGTGATGATCATGTGTTCCTTTAGAAAGGTTGATGGCCAGGTGCCCATCGGTGGTGTTGTTGATTCGGTACCGCATAACATGGGTTGAGTTGCATGTGTTGCATTATTTTATCTGTTATGGTTGTGTGGAACAGTAGGTCCGGGTAAATGTATGTGAATGATAATTGTGTGATTTACTGCCTTCTATTCATGTACAATATTACCGTTATATTTTGATCGTGATTTCTCACCCCTTTGCTTTGTTGTGTTTTGTACTTCTTCGGAAGTACAGATAATCCAGGTGTGTAGCTAGCTTGGTTGTGGCGATTCGTAGGGATGCTCTGATACGTAACATTGGGGCTTTGGGGAGTTATTTTGTTATCTAATGATTTTGTGTGCCCCTCTGGCGTATCGTGTTCGATGAATCCTTTGGGTGAACATGTTTTGTATATTTTGGACAGTGGCCGAGGATGATGTATATGACATGCAGATGATGTTATGTGTATATATATATATATGTATGATGATGAATTTCCGCTGTGTTATATTTGTTGAAACTCATTTAATGGAAAATGTTTTGTTGGTTTAATTCTTTGACATCCCGTTTTGTGGTGCGAAACTCTGATGATTGTTTATTTTAATTGCATTTATTTTATTTTGGGGAACGGGGTGTTACAACAAGCCTTTGAATTCTTTTGATCTTTTCTCCCTTTGGAATGTCTCCATCTAACTAGCGAATCAGATTCTTGTTAAGATGTTCTAACGTCAGTGTATTCCAGAGGTGAATCTTCATTGGAGGTTTGAATGGCGAGAAAATTAAATTGACATTTCTCTTGTGGATATATGGAACCTAAGAAGGAAGAATAGAAATGCATTTTGATAGAAAATGGAAGGAATGAGAAATATGAAGAGCAGGTGTTGCAGAGAAAAATAAAGAGAATTTGGTGTATAGAAAAATGAAGAGAACGTAATGAAGAGAAGTTAGTGCAGAGAAAAATGAAGAGAAGTTGGTGCAAAGAAAAATAAAGAGAAAGTGGTGCAGTATTTATAAAGAAATTGTATAGTAGTAACCATTTGAAATAGCGTATACACAAATAATTTTAAATAAATAAATAAATAATGATGATGTGCCATTTTATATAGCACATGTGTATGAATGCAAAGTCTTGGCGCCATATGAAATGACTTGGTAGACATGAATGAGCCATTTAAAATGACGTATGGTAACAAATTTAAAAGAATGCGCGATTTCATTTGACGTATTCTTATTCTTGGTCTATAAAACTACGTCACATTAGTAAATTATTTGAAAACATGAAATCCATTTATGAACCCAAATTATTATAAACTGAATTGTATTGGTTATTTTTTTATTGAATTAGTTATTAAAGATTGAATTATTAATGATAAACGAACACTCTAGACATTAGTGCCTTTGGTTTTTATTTTAAATTTGGTTGGAGGTTTAAGTATTTTGTGCTTTTGGTTAGTTTATTCCCGTTTGCATCTTTAAAAAAATATCTTAAAATTAAAATCAATCATTACTCTCATTCTCAACCAGCACCCACACACTCGCATGGCTTCTCTACCACTTCAAGACAGAGTCGCAATCGTCACCGGCTCCTCTCGAGGAATCGGACGAGAGATCGCGCTTCACCTAGCTTCACTCGGCGCCAGACTCGTCATCAACTACACCTCCAACTCCAACCAAGCCGACTCAGTCGCCGCCGAGATCAACAACAACCAAGCCACTCCACGAGCCATCACCGTCCGTGCCGACGTATCCGATCCAGACGGTGTGAGGTCTCTCTTCGACTCCGCTGAGAAAACCTTCAACTCACCGGTTCACATTCTGGTTAACTCCGCCGGCGTCCTCGACGCCGAGTACCCTACCATAGCAAACACCGCCGTGGAGAGCTTCGACCGCATCATGAACGTAAACGCGAGGGGAGCGTTTCTCTGCGCAAAGGAAGCGGCGAATCGATTGAAGCGCGGTGGAGGAGGGAGAATCATACTGCTAACGTCGTCGATGGTGGCGGCGTTGAAGCCTAGTTTTGGAGCGTATGCGGCGTCTAAGGCGGCGGTAGAGGCGATGACGAAGATTCTGGCGAAGGAGTTGAAAGGGACGGGGATTACAGCGAACTGTGTGGCTCCCGGACCTATTGCGACGGAGATGTTTTTCGATGGGAAGACGGAAGAGATGGTGAAGAAAACGGAAGAAGAGAGTCCGTTTGGTAGAATTGGTGAGGTAAAAGAAATTTCTCCAGTTGTTGGTTTTTTGGCCACTGATTCTGCCGAATGGGTCAATGGTCAAATTATTCGTGTCAATGGTGGCTATGTTTAGGGTTTCAATATCTTTACTGAGATCTGTAATGAATTGAGTAATGTTCCATTAAATTTCAAAATAATCCAAATGTGTAATGTTTTCAATATTCACAAGATATTGGGATATAATAAGCTTATTGAGGAATGGAAATCTTTTTAGTATCCTCTATTTTACTTTCTATAGGTCCGTTCTGACTTTTTTTTATTTTGATACCGGCTTTGCTCCATTTATCATTCCTCCATTTACTTCATAAATATGTATCAAAATTAAATCTAATGATTATAATTAAAATAAAATAAAAATAAAGGAATAAAAAATAAATTAAAGTATGAACAATATGTATCCGTTTTCTTCACACTCACAATTGCAGCAGTCGATTATAACTACCACCACTGCCGTCAGTTAAATCCTCTTTCATTCAACAAAAATTTTAATCAAAACAAAAAGAATTCAATTTATGTTAATGGAGTAAGGATCAAATCAAAATAAAAAACTATAACTCCTGTTTAGCCATTCTCTTTCTGCAGGTGAATAAATTTTGAACCAGAGTTCTATAACAAAACACAATTTTTTTCATCTATCCATCTATTAACGTTAAGGAGAAATTTTTTTATTAATTAAGAATTTAAATTTTTTATTTCACAATAAAAATATCTGTGAGATGTTGGATCGAACTCTAGTATGGTCGAAGTCTGTTCGCGAGTAATGTATGTTGTAGTCGAAGTCTGTTCTAACATGCATTAGTCAATATTACTAGAGTTGTTAGCATGTTGAATTTGGTCTTACTTATAAACTCAATTGTTTAAGTTAACTTATACTTTAAGTTAACTTGTAATGGGTAATTGTTAAAAAACTCATTAGGTTAGTGTGCTATTTTATTATAAATAGGATATTAGTTTCTCAATCTTGGTATAAGGAAAAATAGGAAGATAAAATCCTAATTTTAAGAGAGAAAGGTTATTTTGTTATTCTTATATACTTGTAATCTTTTTCAAAGAGAAAGGAAAGAATAGCAGTTTAATAATCAATCTTTGTTGTTTTCTTCACCCTAACCCCTGTATGTTTCTTGCTAAGAAACCGTTTATACTTTGTTTAAAGGTATCCGATTCACAACAAATTGGTGCGGTGAGCGTAGAGAAGATACCTTCAACAAAGTATGAGATTGAAAAGTTCACCGGAGTGAACGACTTCGGTCTGTGGCGCTTGAAGATAAAAGTCCTATTGGTTCAGCAGGGTTGTTTGGAAGCGTTGAAGGGTGAGGCAGCCATGGACGTTGCGTTAACGACAAAAGAAAATACGGGCATGATCGAGAAAGCCTACATCGCAATATTGTTGAGCCTTAGTGATAAGGTTCTTCGGCAGGTATCAAAGGAGACTACAACATCGGGATTATGGGTGAAACTTGAAAGTTTGTACATGACCAAATCTCTGGTGAATCAACTCTACCTGAAGCAAGCTTTATATTCATTCAAGATAAGTGAAGACAAAGTGTTGGCTGAGCAGTTGGATATTTTCAACAAGTTGATTCTTCATCTTGAAAATATTGATGTGAAGATCGACGATGAAGATCAAGCACTGTTGCTGCTGTGTGCTTTGCCCAAATCACAAGCTCACTTCAAAGAAACTCTCTTGTATGGAACGGGGTCCCTGACCTTTGAAGAAGTTCAATCAGCTTTGTACTCTAAGGACTTTAATGAATGAAAGGAGTATAAACCTTCGACGGTGGGCGAAGGTTTGGCCGTTAAGGGAAAATTCTTGCAAAAGGATGGTAAGTTCGACAAGAAGAAAGGTAAAAGTCAACAGAAGTCTTATAGTGGCAAAACATCTAGTATTCGATGTTATCACTGTAAGAAGGAGGTCACATAAGAAAGGTGTGTCATGAACGCCTGAAAGATCATGGAGGTAATGGCAATGCAGCCATTGTTCAAGATGACTTCGACTCATCTGATGTTCTTGTGGTTTCAAGTGGCGACTCGAGGAAAGAGTGGATTATGGATTCAGGTTGCACTTGGCACATGACTCCAAACAGAGAATTGTTCGAGGAGCTATGTGATCAAGATGGTGGATTTGTGCTGCTGGGAAACAACAAATCTTGCAAAATTGCAGGTATTGGATCTGTGAGATTCAAGCTCCATGATGAGTCAATAAGGTTATTGACTGAAGTCAGGTACGTACCTGACTTGAAGAGAAATTTGATTTCTCTTGGTGAATTCGACAGAAAAGGATACGTTTTTCAAGGAGAGAAAAGTATCCTAAGAGTCATGAAGGGGCGAAGGAAGTCTTGAGAGGCGTGAAGAAACAAGGCTTGTATACCCTTGAGACTGAGGTTGTAAGTGGTTTGACAAATGTTGCATCCACGAAACTTATGTCGAAGACAGAATTATGGCACATGAGATTGGGCCATGTCAGCGAAAGAGGTCTGATCGAATTGGGGAAGCAGAACCTGCTAGGAGGTGACAAAGTCGAAAAGTTGGAATTTTGTGAATCTTGTGTATTTGATAAATCTTGTAGGGCGAAGTTTAACAAAGGCAAGCAAAGAACACATGGATCCTTGGATTACATTCATGTTGATCTTTGGGAGCCTGCAACGAATCCTTCACACTCAGGTGCAAGGTATTTTCTATCCATCGTTGATGACTATTCCAGAAAGCTATGGGTATTCATTCAAAAGACGAAGGATGAAACTTTTGAGAATTTCAAAAGTTGGAAGATTCTGGTCGAAACTCAAACTGACAGAAAGGTTAAGAGGTTGAGATCCGACAATGACCTTGAATTCTGCAACGAAGCGTTCAACAGTTACTGTGTTGAGTCTGGGATTGCAAGGCATAAGACTGTAGCAGGTACTCCTCAACAAAATGGCTTAGCTGAGAGATTCAATCGAACAATCCTTGAAAGGGTCAGAAGCATGTTGGTTAGTGTTGGATTGAAAAAGGTGTTTTGGGCGGAAGTTGTTTCGATAGCAAATTACCTGATAAATAGATGTCTCTCGACTGTCTTGGGAATGAAGACACCTGAAGAAGTTTGGTCGGGACATCCACCTAGTCTCGACAGACTGAGAGTATTTGGTTGTGTGGTCTATGCTCATATTAGGCAAGACAAGGTTAAACCTAGAGCTCTGAAGTGCATGCTCATGGGATACCCTGAAGGAGTCAAAGCTTATAGGATATGGTGCCTAGAGCCAGGTCACAGGAGGTGTATCACCAGTCGAGATGTAGTTTTCAATGAAGCAAAGATGGCTTTCAAGAAAACTGATGATGCTGACGAAGAGTTGGAACAGAGAGAGATTCATGTTGAGGTGGAGTATGTTGATACTGAATTGCTTACCCTAGATGAAGTCGAAGAAGATGCAGAAGATGTTGTCGAAGATGAGGAGATTGATAATGACTACCTGCTAGCAAGAGACAGACCGAGGAGAGTCATCAAGCCACCTCAGAGACTTAGGTATGCAGATCTTATAACTTATGCCTTAATCTCTGCTAGTGAGGTTCTAGATGAAGAACCTAGAGACTATAAGGAAGTTATGAGGAGTTGAAAGAAGACTGAATGGCTGAAGGCCATGGATGTGTTAGCTCACCAATTCGACGACTCATGTTGGAGGCTATTTTCAGCATATTAAAAAGATCTACAAGTCTTCTAAGGACTTAGGAAATTGAAGTCTTGAAATTAAATACTTCGACCTAAGCAAGCGAAATGGTCTTCGACCGAGATTTAGAAGAAGGGTCGAAGTGAGTTTTTGAAATTCGAATCTTGGAGGGAGTAGTTATATTTTCTTATGACTAAGAAGGACAAGTGGCTCTCATCGGATAAAGGACTGCATGTGGTCTGACACTTGTCAAGAATAGATGGCCTAAGGAGGTTATTAGCGGTTATTAGCAGTTACTATTATTATTATAAATAGGAGTCTTAGACATAAAACTTGGTGTGTTGTAATTTACTGTTGTACAAGTCACTCTTAAAATTACTCCAAGCATCCGAGTGTAGAGAAAGAGAGTATTATAGAGAATGTACGTGATGTAAACACACAATCCTTTATCTTTTCAATGAAGTTATTTTGTTTCTTTACTTTTGTCAAGTACTTTTATTTATTTGTTTCATCTTTCCCTCTTGTTCATCATTACTACTTCGATTAAGTCCTTCCCTCCCAAAAAAAACCCTTATCTCTTCTCCCCCTAATAATTCTTCTTCCTTCCTTCTTTTAAACATAGTGGATAATTTCTGCCCCCCTTCGTTAAGTTATTTCTTCTTAGTATTGTTGAAACACATTTCTAGATAGGTTCAAATAGAAACACCTTTCAGCACATATCCTAGGATTCTGTATGGTCAATCCTGCAAGTTAGTCAATTTGACACCAAATTGATAGACCAGAGGTTGTTTACCAAAAAACACGGTAAACAAAATGGCACACCCGGTGGGACCATGCTGAACAAAGAAAGTTTTGAGATCATAAGAATCTAAAAAATATAAGCCTTATCAACTTTTCTTCAAAATACATTGTATGTTACTAAGAAGTGGCAGAATAACCACTACGAACGAAGAAAGTTTAGTAAAACGTAACACTAGGAATATGGCGACGGAACCCGTTCAGCCAAATGGCCAACAAAATGGCTTTAGCGAAGAAACAAGAAACGACGGAGCGTCGACTTCAATACCATCAACGGGAGAGCAAATAGGGCTCCCGGTAAGGCCTGTACCAACACCTTCGATATTAGGGGTTGGGTCGACTGTAATAAGACCCTATACTCAACCAGTATTGGAATATATCGGGCCCCAAGTGTCAAATCCTCAGACACCATTAGAAGGAAGCCCCTTGCCTAGGCAAAATCCTCTTCCTCGATTGGTACAGATGCCCAGGAATCCAACGTATGGAATGCCTACAACTGTGATGCAGGGCTTCAAAATGCTCCCTCCATCTTTTCAGATAACCCTGTGACTTCTCCATTGCAAGGATCAGGATCTGGGGTGAACATTGGTCGAAGTTTCCAGGGCCAGAGTCTGGGATATTCAACGCAAGGCCCCAA